ACTTTGGATTCACAAAGCAAAGAGAAGTCTATGTATGTAAAAATAGGAACTATATGTATGTATACATTTGTACATTTCATTGTAGAGATGCTTCATCTCCTTGGTTGGTTACACTTATATATTCTTTATTTGAGGAAATAAATTTATAATTTCAGTTTTCCCCATTTAGTATGATGTTGACAATAGTTTTGCCACATATCTTTTATTGGGCTGAGGTAATTTTTTTCTATCCATAGTCACTTGAGAGATTTTTAACAATCGCTTTTCTCTAATCCATGGCAACATTTAAACTTATTATCTTTATTTTCTGGTGCTTCTCTGTATCCAACTTGCCAAGAGCAATGACCACTACTTAGCCTCTACAACTACACACACCTGAGCAGACCATCACCTGGTTTGCAGTTGAGGGCAAATGGCCAGCAGGACTGATCAGCAACTTCACAATGTTCCAATCCTGAGAATGAAACCCTTCCATGCCCGGTTGTGTATCATGGGACTATGGTTCCTGAAGCTATACTTTGTCCTGTTTTGAGAGGAATTAATTCAAATCCCAGTGTTCTACAAGGCTTATGTATCTACAAGTGGCCAGTGCAGGTGACTCATGCCTGAAAACCTACCTACACAGAAGGCTGGTATCTGCTGATCCCAGTTTAAAGGCAGCCCAAGAAAGGAAAGTGCAAGAGACTCTTTCCTCTAGTTAACCAACAAAAGGGCAGAAATGGAGATGTGACTCAGTGCTGACCTTGAGTACTAAAGCTCAGGGCCAAAGATCAGACCCTTAGTCAAAGTCCAAAGACACACACACACCAACACACACAAAGTATAAGAATGCACAAAAATTTAGTCATATATGAGTCTTCTTATGGTTGCACATTCTTAGTTGGGGGGGGGAATCAAAGCATAAGATTTCAGTATTTCTTTTGAGCTATATTAATTATAACTCATATACAGGATGAAGTTACAACCTATTGGGAATTTACCTGTGTTAGTCATCTCCCCTTCCTTATAACTGGCATTTAAGTTTGGAACTTTCTTCCAGTAAGGGTATCTCAAAGACTTTGCTCATTCTTTTTGCATAAGCAAGCACCAAAAGAATAAAAGAAATAATTTGCAAATAACATATTTATATGATGATTTCTTTGTTGCTTTGTATGTCCCTCCCCCACAGTATAACCCATGGTTTCACTGTATTTGATGTTGGTATAATTTGGGGAGGGAAAGGGAAAAAACAAATCATTTAAATAAGGATACAATTGGACTCATTTCAACAATGAGAAGTACAATTTGTTATGTAGAAAACAAACTTTACAGCTTTGGGGAGGGTGGAGGGAGGAGAATGGGGTGGTGGGACGGGAGCATGGAGGATGGGAAGGGATGGGAAGGGATGGGAAGGGGAAACAAAGGCGGAGGCTACAATGCTTGATAAGAAATGTACTCATTATCTTGCCCATGTAATTGTAATCCCTCTGTACAGTATGTTCACAACAAAAAAAGAGAGGAAAAAGGAAATTGTTTAAATAGGGATATAGGTGGACACATTGCAATAATGAGATGTACAAAACATTATGTCGAAAAATGAAGTTTACAACTTTGGTGCTGGGTTTTTGGGGGTAGGGAGGACAGGGAAAGGAGGGGAAAGATGGGAAAGAATGGGAAGGGAAAACAAAGGAGGAGGCAACAATGCTTGATAAGAAATGTATGGTATTTTCCCAATAATAAAGTTATTAAAAATAATATATACCACATATATGGTATATATGTGCACATCAGAGGGAAACCAGGAAGAGGACAGAGAGACAAAGGCAAACTGGGGACAACATACAACAGTGGGACCTATCAGCTGCACGGGACATTGATCATAACAAACTAAGCAACTCAATGGCAGCAAGGGAGGGAATGAGCAGGAAAGAGGGAACAGCTGACACTAAGCAAAAGGAAAGAAATGTATATATCACCCCATGTGGAAGAAATAACTGTATTGTCCAAGCCCATAGAATTAACAAAGTTTATGAACCATGATATAAATAATTTATTCCAGAATGTTAGAATGTGTTTGTGACTATAAATATCATTTACTTTATGACTATAAGTATCACAATCCTGTGAAACTTGAAAAATTTATGTAATCACAATAAAAATTCCTATAATAAATTTTATTAGAAGAAATTTTTTGTGTAACCCATAAGATAATGTCACAAATGGTGGCCAATAGCAACAGATATGTATGTTCTTCAGGCTGAGTGGAATATGAATTCCTCTGTACAACTCTGAACCTGCATTCAGTTTCTGAGTAGATCGTGATGAAGCTTAAGAGAAGACTTAATCTTGAGTGTTTGTTATACTGACACATGAAAACAACTCTTGCTGGGCCCTGCTATGAGGTGTGGAGTCCTGGCTGTGGCTGCCTTCATGGAATGCAGGCAGGACAAGGAGGGTCTAATACAGAGTTAATAACTTTTCCAGGAGCAGACTCTGTAGAAAGATTAAAAAATAGATGTTGCAATAGTCTGACCAACTAACTGAATGTAACTGGCGTTCTTGTTCATACTGTCTTATAGAAGAGAGAGAGAAATATTAAGAATGCTGTTGTTAGTCTGGTGAAGAGTTATGCTGAAGAAGTGTCAACCTATATCTACAGATTGTGAAAATGCCTATATAAAATTTAGTTTTCTGGGGCTGGGATGGTGGCTCAGTAGCAGAGTGCTTGCCTTGCATGCATGAGGCCCTGGGTTCGATTGCCCAGCACCATGTAAGCAAAAAGAAAAAAAAAAGCTGGAAGTGGTGCTGTGGCTCAAGTGGTAGAGCACTAGCCTTTAGCTGAAGAGCTGAGGGACAGCAGCCAGGCCCAGAGTTCAGGACCCACGACCGGATGCAAAATAAATGAATCAATGAATGAATAAATTTAGTTTTCTCTGCCATTTTTCTCTTCCCTTTAGAAATATTATTAGTTTACCCTCTGTAAGGAGGATTTTATCCTCTGGGATATTTTGTTTTGACACAAGTGATAATAAGGAACTTAATTTATTAGGCCCTCTATGAAGAATCTTATTTTTTTAATCACTTGTAGGGATTGAACTCAGGACCTGGGCACTGATCCTGAGCTCTTTTGCCCAAGGCTAACACTATACTACTTTCAGCCACAGCACCACTTACGATTTCTGAATAATTAATTGGAGATAAGAGTCACAAGGAGAATTTTCTGCCTGGACTGGCTTTGAACCATGTGTTCAGAACTCAGCCTCCAGAATAGCTAAGATTACAGACATGAACCACCAGCATCTGGCTTATAAAGAATATCTCTAACAGGTGTTGATAATTTGCTAATCATAAGTTAACTTTCTTTCTGTGATATCAGCTTAACTGAAGTAGGTATTTGATTTCCTTACTTAATTCAAAATACAGTGATATTGGATAGAAGTCTTGAGATACAATGGCAAATGAAGTCTCTGTACAGTACTTTTCTCTAGAATAACTAGAAGAGGGCCAATCAAATTGACTCTTCACCAACACACTCCTGGACACAGATTTCAATTGAATTGGTCCTCTAGTGTTTTAAGTTGACAGGGTCAGCTCCCTGCAGATACAGGTATCAGGAGAGAGGGGTCCTTCTACCCACTGCTGGAGCCAGCCTGGTATTTGTGGGTCTTTTCTCCAAACACAGAAGAAATTTAACTCACTTTCTTCACCAGAGAGATGCCCTTGCCCTCCACTTTGTTCTTCTCACACTGCTGCACCCACCTGCTGATTTGCACAGAGCTCTCCAAGGAGGACTTTCCAGTGCTAGTTTGACATAAACCCTCATCTTGACCTCGACTTCACTGATCAAATCTCCTGGATTCCCAGCTAAAATGAGGCTCTGTTCGTGGGCTGCTCTGGGACTCCTAATGCTCTGGATCACTGGTAAGGGCAGAGGGAGATGAGGATGGAAAGGGGTGTTGAGGGTGAGCCCTCAGGGCCACTGCTTCTTGTTTGTATTCTGTTCATGGGTTAGATGCACAGAACTTGTCCTCTAGAATGGGGCAGGTGAAGTTAATTATATGAGAGTGATGAACATTCTAGATGGAACCAGGTCCTGAGCTTTGGTGACAACTATGACAACTGTGTGGTGGGTAGTATACATGAGATCTAGAACCTCATTAATGCTTTTTAATATTTGTATTGAAAGATTAAAAATTGACCATTACCATTACTAACTTGCTAACTGCTGATTCTGCTTTTGTAAACTTGCTTATGCTAGCGTTGACCCTTCCCTTCCCAGAAATGAGTTAAGAATTTTCAGGGACCAGATGCCGGCCCCAGGACAAAGTCAGTGGTCGTAGATAAAAAACAGACAGTACATGTTCCTCAGTTCTCATTTAGAAATTCCCCAGACAGGACCTTGAGGTAACGACCACCTGGCAAGACCACAAGCTAAGCCAAATGTCAACCAATCATAGGCCTGTAACCATGTAAACCCCCCCTTAAACCAACTATGGGCCAGTCATTTTACAAAGACTGTTACAAAATTTCCCGCGTGGCAAAGTGATTGTTGGCGTATATGATGACCTTGAAATAGACCAATCATGGAATGCTTTGTATTATGCGTTAATCTTGTGGTTTTTGCCTTTTAAAAAGGGCTTGTAACCGCTGCTCAGGGCTCCCTGTCTGCTCAGTACAGAGAGTCTGTTTGCGCAAATGTCAAATAAACTCCTCTTGCTTATTGCACCTCCCGGCCTGGAGTCTGAGTTTTCTGGGGCGCCCTCCCGTTGACGAAAGTATCCCAGGAGTCTGGGGTCTTTCAGTATATGTTTTGAAATATATGTTTGAAATGGTAGGATAGAAGGAAAAACCATGAAAAGGATTGGGGATTAATATCTAAACACAGAAAAATTATATTACACATATAACATTGTACTTTTCATTTATTTTAATTTCAGGGTCCAGTGGCGATATTATAATGACTCAGACTCCACTCTCCCTGCCTGTCACTCTGGAAGAGAAGGTCTCCCTCTCCTGCAGGTCTAGTGAGAACCTGACAGATAGTGATGGAGATAGTGCTCTATCTTGGTACTTGCAAAAGCCTGGCCAGTCTCCCAAACTCCTAATCTATTGGGCTTCCGACCTAGCATCTGGAGTCCCAGACAGATTCAGTGGCAGTGGGTCAGGCACAGATTTCACACTGCAAATCAGCAGGGTGGAGGCTGAGGATATTGGGGTTTATTACTGCATTCAAGGTACAGATACTCCTCCCACAGTGATACAGTCCCTAACAAAATCATCTCTGTAGGGCTTGGCCCAGCTGTCCTATTTCAAAGCTTGTCTGGGGAACAGCATAGCACATTATTCTCTGAACTGAAGTAGTAGTCTGAGTTTGGAGGATTTGACAGAGGATGTCATACCAGAGACCTTGTCCAAGTGGGATCTTGGATTACTTCAGCTTCCAGGGACTCCCAGAACCAGAATTTATAATGTTACTGCAGAAATCAATTTATCACTTATTACCAAATGTGAAAGACAAAGACAAAAAGATCTACCATCAGCATGCCATTTCTATAGTTTGGAGAGAATTACAGAGTCAAATCTCATGAAGAATGACTCAAGAAACATTAGTATCTAGGAATTGAAGAATGAATCACAAAGCTAGGCTTAAAAGTGAGAAAGATTTTGTTTATTAGGAATGTTACTGAATATCACCAAATAAACAGAATATGTTTGTTAAATATAATATATCACTGTGGTTTGAACCCATGATTCTGAAAGTCCCATTAGTGTTACTTTTTAATTGTGAAAATACCATACAGAGGGGTTACAATTATATGAGCAAGATAATGAATACATTTCTTATCAAGCATTGTTGCCTCCTCCCTTGTTTACCCTTCCCTTCCCTGCCCTCCCATCTCCTCCTCAGCCCCCCCCAAAGTTGTAGAGTTCGTTTTTTGACATAATGTATTGTATATCTCAGTGTTGCAATGGGTCCACCTGTATCCCTATTGAAACCATTTGTTTTTTTCCCTTCTTCTCCCCAAATTATACCAACATCAAATACAGACTTGAACTATACATTGTACTGTCCACTTCCTGTCTTCTCATGGTTTCTTGTCTTCTCTAAATTGAGTGACCTTTGCTAGATGTTCCTCCTCATAACATTCTGTCTTGCCATTGGCCAAGGAAGCCAAGGACAGTGAATAGAAGTTATTTCCGTCAAGCATTTGCTTTGAGAGACAGGAAATTTATAAAATCTCTCATATCTCTTGATTAGCAATCTATACTTTAACCAGGTAACAAGGATTCACACAAAATTAGAGAAACCATGCTTTTGGTGAAGTCTATTTTGGTTAAGAAGATCTTAATTTGGCATAAATTGTTTAGGCATACACAAATATTGATTCAAACAATGATCTCATGTATCAAAATGATAATTTTAGAAACTTGAGGCTATATCAAGACTAAAGAAATTACTAAAAAATTGCCAACAATTCCAATGAAGTTTGAAAAGTAAAGAAGTAGGTTGAAGTAGAGGCTACATTGGCAAAGTTGCTACCAAGAATCTATCTGAAAAGATAGATGGGGGGTAGTTTTGGAGGTGGGAGGGAATTGATGGTAGGGGAAAAACAAAGGAGGAGGCAACAATACTTGATAGGAAATGTACGCATTGCCTTCCTTGCTCATGTAACTGTAACCCCCCTGTACAGTATTTTTAGTATAAAAAACATACAAAAATAATGATAACCTATAGTCCTGGCTACCAATAGGAGGAATATGGTCCTGTCTGTATCTGACAAGCAAAACTAAAACTAGTAAGGATGATAGGAGTATGACTCACTTTAGAGAACTTGCTTTGCAAGCTCAAGGTCCTGAATTACAATGTTTGAACTACAAACCTTCTAAAAATGTGTTCCTATGTTGGATATATTGTGACCTGAATTTCACTTTGTATCTTTACCTCTAGATGTTGTTTGTGACCTCTAGAAGTCACTCCACATCTGGCCACTGAGGAAGATCAAATAAAACTGATGTTTGTGGCAAGTTCAGTGACCCACAGCATAACACATAGGAGCTACATCTGGATCAGCAGAAATTCAGAGCATGAATAGCTAATGAATATAACTGCTTGGGATTGTGTGCTGCTTTTTGGGAGGTGCATTAGGCTTGATAAAAACAAATTACATAATTATAAATCTTCATAAAACTATACGAAATAGGAGAAATAAAAATATCTACAAAGTATGATTGAGTGCAAAAATTAGTTCCTTTATGGAAACATCTAAGGAACAGTTACCACTAACATTAACCATACTATGATAGTCATCTCTAGTCTAGTCTCTGTCATCTCTGGTGTTGTCTATCTCTTACTGTAAAATTTAGTAATGCATAGTAATATATAAATGGAGCAATAAAAATGAGACTCTACATGTAAAATATAGTATCATAAATATCATTAGGTTCACTGTTAATATTTACTCACTGTCTATATTTATAAAATATGTACATTTATTTATTTATTGCTGCAGATATACAAATTTCCAGAAAGAAATGCATACATGTGCAGATAGATGCACACACAAAAATCAGGGATCCTGTGAAAGACAGTTTATTCTTTCCAGAGACTGCCTTAGAGAAAAACTTGTAAGAACCCAGAACCTGGAGACTTCTGAAGAAACATGTATATACTGTTCAATAATATTCTTTTTTCACTCACCATTCTCTTGGAAGCTTTAGGAAAATAGAAGTACTTTTGATGATGGTTTGTGATGGTTTATCTGCATTGTCAAATTGGTTGGATTGCTGCAAGATGAGCAAACTTTACTTGTTGACATATATGTGAGAGTTCCTGTAGAGAGAATTGGCTAAGAGAAAATCTACGCCATTGTACACAGCCCCTTCCAAAATGCTAGGGCCTCTTATGAAGTAAAAAAGGAAGGGGGAGTAAGCGATTCAATGTGTTACTTGGCTGCCATTATATGAGCACTCTGCCCATATGGTACACTAAAGTTTCTAATCTCTGAGCTGAAACAAAGAATTCTGCTATTTCAGTTGTTTTTACTGAGGTCTTAGTCACAGAAATGACAAGTTAAGTAACACATCTTTATAACTTAGGTTCTAGCTTATTTTTTGACCAATGATGGAAGATGAATGTTACACTGAGAGCATTTGGTGTCCCCATCACTGCGTTGAGAAGGATGATATTTATTTTCTGTGGAAACTGGTAATTTGTTAGGTGATAACACGTTGCAGAAGATTTTTTCAAAGTGAGAGTTTAAATGTGGGAAAACATTTATCAGTGAAGGAAAGCTGTAACACAGAGGGAGTAGAATAAGTCCCCAGACACATGGATTTATGCTTAGGAAGATGAGATGTGGAAGTGAACATCACAGAAGAGTTGCAGGCCAGGCAGTGGGTTCTGAGCCCTGGTGGCTGGGTGCTATGCTACTTGGAGCAGGATGGGAGGGGCAGCACTTCTCTGCTGGAGGCAACTGGGTATAGAGCCTCAGATAATCAGGACTCCAACTACAACCTCCCCCCCATCTAAAACTCCAGAAGCTTTGCCTTAAGACTTCTGAATAGTTTGTGAACAAGTCCATATCATATTATAAGTCCTTTATAAGTACATTTGACATCTGTAACTAAGAACAGTGATCAGTCCTCACAGAATGCAACAGCCTGTTTTCTTCTAATTATTACTCTTTCCCAGCAATGGCTCCAGGTAGCCAACACTAGCAACTTGGTAAGTCATCAGGACTCAAGGCAGAGAAGCAGAAGAGGAGCCACTGGTTCTTTCCACTTCAACTATGCCATGAACCAAATACTGATAGATTTCCTTTACCAGTTCAGCCCTCCACAGGCTTTCAATGATTCATATCTGGTAAAATGCGGGGTGTCAAATGGAGGGATTCATGGATCTCTGTGCAGCTTTTTTCACTTGTTTCTGTGTCCTCCCCTGTGTGGACTTACTAGCTCTTCTTCTTCTTCTTTCTTTTTTGTCAGTTGTGGGGCTTGAACTCTGAGCTAGGTCTCTGTCCCTGCACTCTTCAGCTCAAGGTAAGTACTCTACCAATTGAGCAACAGCACCACTTCCAGGTTTCTAGTGTTTATTAGAGATAAGCTTCTCGTGGACTTTCCTGCTAGGGCTGGCTTTGAACCATGATCCTCAGATTTCAGCCTCCTAAGTAGCTAGGATTATAGGCATGAGCCACTGGCACCTGGCTTAGCTCTTTGTTTTCAGCTTAGTACTGAATACCCTCCCCAATCCCCCCTACAAAAAAAAGAGTAGAGTTTTATCTCACATATTACTCTTCAGGTTGAACAAAGTGGTATTCAATCAATTTGAAACCACAGCTCTCTACAATGTAAGGTAGTGAATAACAGTTGAGTATAGAATCCCTAAGAAAAAAGAGGAAGACCAAAGTAAAAACAGGCTTCAATAGGGATAGAATATTCCTAATAAACTGTGCATAGTACCAAACAGGAAGAATTACGAAAGCAGCTTCTATGGTGCTCTTCTAAAGAGTTATTTTTGCCAGAGGGATTTCTTTTTCCATATGAATTTATTACTATTAGAAATAATAAGATAGGTTGAAGTTATACAACTCCTGAAGTAGTGCACTGAGAATGAGTATTTTTTCGATAATGCTTTGCTGAAGAAATTTATACTTGGAGTCAGGACTACTGAGATTTAGGTTCACCAAATGAAATTTGAAGATCAGAATTTTATCAAACTGAAAAGGAATGCCTCTGATACTTTCTCGAATTAACCAGCAAAACACCTGCATATTGAAGGGTCAAGTGGTAGACCTCCAGCCTTGCACAAAAAAAGCTAATGGCAACATACAAGCCCTTATATCAGTACAAACACACACACACACACACTCACAAACATACACATACACACAAACACAGAAGCACACTCCATTATTACCCCCCCCACCTCACCAACAACATGCAATACAAATTTAATCCATAGAAAATGTCAAAATGATCCTTAACAGATAGAACAGTGCTGGAGGAATATCAATACCAAATTTCAAACTCTACTAAAAAGCCATAGTAATCAAAACAGCTTGGTACTGGCACAAGAACAGACCTCAGGACCAATGGAATAGAATTGAAAACCCAGAAATGACCTTACAGACCTAAAGCCATCTAATCTTAGATAAAGGAGCTAAAAAAATAGAATGGAAGACAGACAGCCTCTTCAATAAATGGTGCTGGCAAAATTGGTTAACTACTTGTAGAAAACTAAAGCTAGATCCTTATATATCACCCTGCACCAGAATCAACTCCAAATGG